CCCACCTCTATCTGCCTTTCTACAGGTGCTACACCTGCCCTTACACATCCCCTCTCACCTCCATCTAAGGCCCAAGACAAACTTTCCATATTCGACAGGGGTTCACCTGTACATTCTCCAACCTGATAGACTCTTCTGAGGAAGAGTCACCGGACTCGAAATGTTAACTCTGACTTTTTCTTCACAGATGCTGCCAGACCTGCTGAGCTTTATCAGCAACTTCTGTTTTTATTCCTGATTTACAGCATCCGCAGTTCTTCCTGTTTTTACTTGGTCCACTGTATCCTTTGCTCCCGATGTGGCCTCCTCTATATCGGTGAAACCAAGCGCAGTGACTGATTCGCAGAGCATCTGCGCTCTGTACACTATAATCAACACCACCTTCTGGTTGCCAACCATTTTAACTCCCCCTCCCACTTCCATTTCCACTGTGACATGTCCATCCTGGGCCTCCTGCAGTGCCACAATGACGCCACACACAAACTGGAGGAACAACACCTCATATTCCATCTCAGAAGCCTACAGCCTGATGGCCTGATCATAGAATTCATCAGTTTCAAAATCTCCCCACACCCGGCCTCATCCCATGTCCAACTCTCCTGTAATCCTCGACTACTTAACCTGACACAACTTGTCCATTTTCTTTCCTACCTATCTGCATCCCCCTTTCCACTGGCCAATCTCCACTACCCCTACCTGCATTCACCTATCACTGTGCCACTTACCTTCCCCTTCCCCCAGCCCCCACCCCATCCCTCCCCCTTCCCCAGTCCTGAAGGGTCCTGACCTGAAACGTTGACTCTCCTGCCCCTCTGATGCTGCCTGACCTGCTGTGTTCCTCCAGCTCCACATTGCATTGACTCTTACACCAGCATCTACAGTTCTTGCTATCCCCACAACTACAAGTGACCTCTCTTATAGCAACTTAAATCAAATATTCATTCCAAAGAATTTTAGTTTTGGAAATAAGGCAATGCAGAATGATTTTTATCACTAACAAAAGGACATACATCAGGAGTTACTGACATTGTTCTCACTTCTATTAACCTATAAATCTTGATTAGGAGTTTCCACAGTTGTACATTTTTTAATGCAGAAAATTGCAGAATGTTTAAATACAATTCTATCCAAAAGAAATCAAATTTCTTGATCTTTTGCACTAGTTTAAAAAAAAGTGTCAGAGAATGGTTATACAACAGAAATAGGCAATTTTCATTCATCAAGACCCTACTAACGCAGAGACAATTTCAGCTAGGTGACTCTGCACCTTCAACCCATGAACCTGCAAATTTTCCAATGCCTTTTTAAAGCCATGATTGAATTTGCTTTCACCATACTGTCAGGCAATTCCTTCCAAAACTCAAATCACTTTGTGCTTTAAAGGAGTACCATAGAAACTTATCCATTCTAGCGATGTAACTACCTTCAGGGGTGAACAGCATTCTTGTAGATATTTACAGCTCCCTCAAGCAAGCACAGTTGGATGGATGGCTGGTTTGCGACACAGATTAATACCAATAGCGTGGGTTCAATTCCCACACTGCCCGAGGTTACCACCAAGGACTATCCTTCTCAACCTTGAGCTATGAGACATGGCAACCCTCAGGTTAGACTACCACCAGCTGTTTCTCTCTAATGAGGGAGTAGCCCTATGGTCTGGTACGATTATGGCGACTTCACTTCAAAGCGCATTGGATGGACTAGCATTTCAGGCCAAACTCCTGTATTATCAAAGTTCTTCACAATTTCCCTATTGTTTATAAATCCCAAGATTATATTTGCTTTAATAGTCACCTTCACATCTGGCCTGCCAACCTCTTATTTCTGCAGATATACCCCAGTCTGGTCTGCTCCTGCACACCTTAAAGATTTGTGAAAAATGTGAATAAATAAAATAAAACAAAGAACAAATCACTTCCCATGTTTCTGCATTAAATTTTCATTTCTTTTTGTTTAATTTGTTCTTGGGATGTGGGCATTGCTGCCTGGGCCAGCATTTATTGCCTGCCCCAATTACCCTGGTGGAGGTACTTGCAAGCTGCTTTCTTGAGCAGCTATTAGTTCTGAACAGTCCTACAGTGTCCCACCCACTTCTCCTGACTCTGCCCTCATGAAATCTATCACCATTATCATCATAGTTCACAATATTATGTTGGAAGCCAGTCCAGTCACAACACTGGCCACATCCCAAAACTGAATGAACCACCATTGCAAATTTCTGCAAATGCTTCCCATTTGCTCTTAAATTCATGCCAGTTATTTTGACACAAGGAGATTGAAAGGAACATTAATAATGAATTTGAGTATAATTTCTTTTTAATTAATTAAAACACAATGTTAATATTAGCAAACTAGAAAATAGTTTTATATACATAATCATTCTCAGTTATTTAAAGTTTGGCTTCTCGTCAATAAGTATACTGATTAAAATGCTTCTTTTTTTTTTGAGATGATCACATTCAGCTCTATTAAACTGTACCAAATTACCAAAAACAAATCAAGGAATGCTATTCGAAGCAAAAATATTTTAAAAGTTATGTTTCAAACTGAGTGGACTGTTTTGTAGCAAATTTTACATTCAGTGATAAGTAAACGTGCGAACTTGGGTTAAAACCCTAGCTCACAACTAGTGCAGCTTGTGGCATAATGCCAATTTCTGTTGAAAGAGAGAAAACTATCCTCAGGCTGTCTCTATTTCTGGAGGTTGCATAAATCATTATTTCAATAGGATTGATCTTTCAACATCAGCAACTGGAAATATTTTACTGAATTCGGCTAATTAAAAGCCCACACAAGTTTCACTTTGGGAGGTCAGCCCAAGTTGATGCATTGCTCAACATGGTACTTGTTAGTATGCAGCTGTTTACTGAGCTGAATTTATGAGATTTTGTGCAAATCTGAGAGATACTGTGTTTATTCTATTCTAAACTTGCTGAATGCCATATGTTGTTGATTGAATTGATGGTAGTTCATCCCATTCCATCATTTTCCATTTACCCATTTCTCTGTCCAAAACCCTTATCCCAAGTATATTATTTATCAACCTAGCTAGATAATTTATGGTAGGATGTAGGTCATATTGGGAAGGTACTTGTATTTAGTTCTGTTATGTTTAAAAATTAATTAGAAATTGTGCAAACCTAATTGGGTAAAAGGATTTCAAGAGCTTATATCCCTGGCTGATTGGATGCATAGCAGCTAGAGGAATGCTCATTTTGCTTTTAGGATGTAGATTGTTTAAACAAAAAAAGAATTTGAAACACAAAAAATTGAATGTTAGATTTTTCAACTATGCAACAGACGCAAGTTTTTGGGAGGTTGACCGTAGTCTGTATCGAATATTGAAGCACTTCAAATTAGTAATTAGAGTAACTTGTTAGATACTGTGGTGATAGTAGGAACTGCCGATGCTGGAGTCTGAGATAACAAGGTGTAGAGCTGGATAAACACAGCAGGCCAGGCAGCATCAGAACAGCAGGAAAGCTGACGTTTCGGGTCTGGAGCCTTCTTCAGAAAAATTGCAGTGGTTGGTTTCACTCTGCAATAATGTTAGTCTAGTATAATTATAAATTTTTTAACCTTCAAGATGCTCAAGTTGGTACATTTTTAATTCGTTCGTGGGCTGAGAACTTATTGCCCATCCCCAAATGCTCTTAAGAAGAGGTTGGTAAACCACAGCGTTGAACCGCTGCAGTCATTGTGATTAAGGTTATTCACATAGTGTAGTTTGGGAGTTCCAATATTCAGAAGTGACCAATGACGATGAAGGAACAAAGCAATAGTTTCAAGCCATGCCTATTTGGAGGGGATCCTGCACGTGGAGATTCCTTTAAGTCTAGCTGGTCTACAGACAGGAATAGAGCTATCTGCTGCTCATGGCAAATGGGCTTCTTGTCAGGGACATTGATGATAAGAGATGGAGAAAGGAGAAAGTTCTCAACTTCTCCTCCAATCTTAGTGCTGACAAGCCTAAGGTAACTTCAAACTTACCTGTAGTAAAAATCATTGGTCAAAAACAGATCTTGTTCAGGATTTCAGTGTTATAGTGACCAACTTTATAAATTGTGGACTAGCTTCATTGTATTAACTGTACTAATCACTTTATGTAACTAAAATAAGGCACTCAGTTGAATGATTGGTTGCATAACAGCTTTCCTTTTTCTCAAAAAATGCAACATAGCCACTCTGGAAATTGAACTGGGAACAGACTGGCACACTTTGAAGTGTCAAGAAAGAACTGTAAGCTAGGATGGCAGATTTGTAGGATTCTCATTAATATAGACATCGATGTTTCCTGTGATTAATGGCTCAAAAGGTGGACAAGGAACATGCTTCTGTTTCTTGTCTGCTTCCATGGCTAATTATTCCTGAAACAGGTCACTAGCCTGTTGCAGAAACTGAAGCTTGAATGGTAGCACTCCATGTCAATATTGCTAACGAGGAGACTCTTTTGCTCTTATAACCTGCTATTAGTGTATTGAAAGATTTATAGGTTGATACTCAATCTGTGTGACCACATTATGAACACACTTTTCTTGGTTTTCAAGTCCTAGAGCAGGACTCAAACCCAGAGCTCTAGTTCAGAGGCAGCAATGCTACTCACTGCGGAGAAGGGACTCCCTCATCAATATAACAGGGCAAAAATTTAAACATGACAAATAAATGCAATGGAAAAAGCTTGACAAAAATGTTAGAATATTACAGGAAGCACTACATTCAAGAAAAAAAAACATGCTTTCATACAATTATTTTAGTTCAGAACTAGTGACGTGAACTCTATCTCGATTTTAACAAAAGAATGGTGTACCATTTTCTCTTCTGCTTCCATTATGACTGGATGCTATGTGGGTGTTATGCGAGGAGCTCTTAGAACAGAGGATGTTGAAAATAAATTAATTTTCAGAGAACATCTACTTGACAATGTGGAGCATTTTAGACATGTATGTTTATAAACAATTACAAGAATAACTTGAAATAAAGAAAAAAGCAACACCACATACCCAAGCATCTATAAGGAACTACGATGTGGGGGTGCCCTTTACACTGCTTACGGCCCTTTTTACACCAGTTCTGGATTGTCACAGGTTGGTTGGCCTCAACAACATTTGTTATCTGCAAATCAGGATAAACCTAGGAGAGAAGAAAATCAATTTACAAACAATCTCAAAAGTAATAGTATCAAGCTCTGTAACCTTGCATTCAAGTCCTGATGGTCGTATTTCTGAATTGTTGAATATGTGATTTTCATTGTCACCGATTCTTTGGGACACAGGACAGGCTTTTTGCATGCCAAGAAACAACTTCGCCCTTGAAGCACAATTCATCAGAGACAACCTTTCCCTGTAAAATTGATTTGGTAGGCTACATATTTTCAAGGATCAACAGAACTAAACAATACTCTATATTCTGGGGCTTAGAGGAAAGAAATATGCATTCAGGCTAATTGACTGAAAATAAAATGCATTTAAGTTCAATAATGTCATAACTAGAATGAGGTTTCAGGTCATTTAAGAAAGAAATTTTAAATTGAACTTAAAATGGAAAATGTTTACTGTATAAATAAACCTCCATCTTAAGCGCCATAGCTTGTGCAAATAGAATTATACTACAGTATTCATTAAATAGAGTTAGTTACAGCCAAAAAATTTCCAATTGAGGGGAACCACACAAGTGTTCACTGGTTTATCATCTACAACTTACTCTAATCTCATTCGCCCATTCGTGTTCCAATTTAAATGCAATTATTTAACTTCCTTTTAAAACCATGTGTGGTAGAGATAAAGTCCGTGGCAGTGTTTCACATATACATATCTCCGAGATTTTTAATGTTGATTTTAGTCTTGAACTTTTAACCTCATTATCACCTTGCTAGTCAGTGAAAGGGACTATTTATCTCATCATAACATTCGATCCTTTAAGACTTCAAACTGGTCAACACCCCCCGCTTAACCTATTGTATCTTTATTAATATATTTCATCTCTGTGATAACATTTTAGCAATCTACACACTGAATTTAAACCATTATTATTTCCTTGTAATGGCATAACCAAAGCTGTGCAGAATACTCCAAATTCAGCCTGACTTGAGCACAAATTCAATACTAATTCCGTGCTCTACACTTCTGTATATATGACAGGACTCCGTAAAACATCCAGCTTCCACTGCCAACTTCACGATCTACATCGAATCTTCTACGCCAACTACAATTTTATCTTTGAAGTTGTTACTTCCTTTCCCAATTATTTTCAAAATACCTTGTTTCATTTTTCTATGCTATGGCCAAACCCTTCAATAGTTTTCAATAACCAAAATTTGCAATATTCAACCTAAATTTCAATATTCTTCCCTCAATTTTCAGAATGTCTGTGCACATACTTAAGAATCCTTGGATCTCAGACTCTCAATTCCCATATTTAAGATCCAAAACTTTCCTTTAATGTTGCATATCATGGCTAGCAACCATCTCTATCCATTTAACAGATTCCTTTCCATTGATGTATTTGTTTGACACTTAATGTGACATCAAGGGTTATGAGCTGTAAGCATGACCTAGACAAAGTGAAGATTCATTTATTATTTGCAGTAAAGGCTTGGTGACAAACATATTAAAGCATATTTAAGTGTATCACTGGCTTTCCTACTTTCCAAATTTGGCTCTGAATGACAGCTCATTCAGTTTGCTTTGAAACATGGGCAAATGTGTTCCAGAACCAGGCCTACTGGAAACCTGGTTGAAATTGACATGTCAAATTGAGTACTTACAACTACTCTGCCAGTTCAGACTGTATTACAGCTCAGTTACTAGAGGTGGGGGAAAAAAAAAATGTTGTTATCACACAATTCCATTAAGTCCTGACTACGAGCATTTTTAATCAAGGGAACAGAATGAAACATTCCTTGCTGTCAATTTTACACAAACCTATTACTATCTTTGTATGAATATTTCTTGGAAAGTCAATCAAACATTGCATTCAAAATTTGAAAAAAATATTTTCATTATACTTCATATATAAAGTTTGTTTTGACTGATTACTGGACTACTTTTTTCAAAACAAATGGGCGAGTTCTGTACTGAAATCCTCAGGAAAACTGAAACCACATCTTCATCCTGTTACTTTCAATATCAATATTAATGTTAAATGTGACTGTGAAAGTAAAAAGATCAAATGCTTAGAACGTCGCTATCTAGGTCCCATGCAGTTAATCATCATAAGCTAAACGCACCCTACAGAGGTACTTCAGTGTCGCACAGTACAATTTTTTTGTTGTTCTCTATTAGAGGAGCACAATGGAGTCCTTAAGAAGATAAGGTCAATAAATGTAACATTTTCTAGATGTTAAACAAGGCCAACCGTTTTACTGTAGAACATGAACTAAAAATGAACAAGATTGAACCAACATGACTAGCCCCACAAAATAAATACCAATGAAACTATATTGATGTAAAAAAATTCACTGATGAGTAACAAGACCATGTTGGCATAGTTTAAATTTTTTGGAATACATTAGAACGTGGCTAACACAACCAGCGATATTTTTGTCCACCACAAAATGCCTTTTGATAAAGTGGTGAGCCACCAACTGAGTGGCTTGCTAGGCCCTTTCAGAAGCCTTGCAAGGGCCAATTACATTGCTATGGTTGTGG